GAAGACAGAATAGAGTTAATGCTAACTAATAGCATCCACGGAAGACAGAATAGAGTTAATGCTAACTCGTAGCATCCACAGAAGACAGAATAGAGCTAATGCTAACTAATAGCATCCACGGAAGACAGAATAGAGCTAATGCTAACTCGTAGCATCCACAGAAGACTGAAGAGTTTCCTCAACCCTTTTCCGGGTTTGCTGAGAGTCAGAATGGATTTGATGGAAGTGGGTTTGGTCTGGGTGAGGCATCCTCGTGAGAGCTGACGGCCAGGTATTTTCTGTGAGGAGGTCAGCCCTGCAGTTAGCATCTGTACACGTCCCCACTGTGTCACCCAGGCTCCTCGTCTATCACTGGAGCATGCTTCCGTACAGAGAGCCTTGTCATATTTGTTTGGTGTTTTTTACATAACCTTTAAAATACTAGAGACCGTGGTCATTAGTATTATGGGTCATGTGTTGGGCTGAGACCTGCAAGGTCAGCAGTTTGAAAGGTCAGCGGCACTGCAGGAGAAAGATGAGGCTTTCTACTCCGGTAAAGTGATTTCAGTCTCTGAGTCCCACAGGGACAGTTGGGCTCTGTCTTACAGAGTCACTATGGGTTGGAATTGACTCAAAGGCGTTAAATTTGTTCTTTTATGACTTTATGGTAGTTGAGAAATGACCATCATAATGTCAATTTCAAAATGAGTAAATAAAGGATGAGTGAATTACGAGGGATTTAAATATATATATATATATATATATATATATATTGACTTATGAAACACTGGATTTATTTGTACCTAATTCATAATTTCAAAGGAATTACTCATTTGGTTTGTCTGAACTAGATAAGCAAGAAATAGCTAATAAGGACTGAATCTGAGAAAGCAAAATTAAAATGAAAAGTACATTTGTGGCAGATGTTGACTGTTTTTCCCCCCTTTTCCTACTTGTTTCTCTCTTGGTTTTGTCTTTCCCTGAAATCAGCTGAATTCACAGAAATGTGTCCTGGAGGAAAAGGGTTTGTTCCCACAGGAGAGTCCTCTCCCGGATCTGGTGGCCAGAACTACAAAGGTCAGAGTCAAGCAGAAATGAATTTGCAACATGTGTACATACCAGATATTCATGTAATAAAAGCGTGGGTTGAAATGAAGTCCATTGATGCTATTGGAAATGGTGACAAGGCTTTTAATTCCTCCCTTGAAAGAGGTGCCTGGGCACGCTGGGTGGAGCCACGGCTTGAAAGTTAGAACCCTGGAGGCTCGGTGACCTTAGGAGGTCCTTTAATCCTCCTGAGCCTCAGTTTCTTCCTCTGAGTTAGGAACAATACCCCAAGGCTACCCGGAGGATTACATAAGATAACATGCATTAACGTGCTGACATAGAGTTAGTTCTGTACTTGAGGAGGCACATGGGAAGCTTTCTCTTTTACTCCAGAGAGGGGTCAGAAATCACATACATCTGACTGTCCTTATGGTGCCCTGTCCCGTCACCAACAAAGCAGAGACTTGCTTTCTCCGAAAAGATTCGATGGCTTGGACCACACATTCATAGTAACAAATGGAAAAGATGAGAGCAAAAATCTATGTGGTTGATGCATTTCATGCTACTTTTCTACAATTCTAAAATAAATGCGCAGCTTCTTTATTTCGTTAAAATGTAAACCACATGTCTAAATTTTTCTGCACAAATCCATGGTAAGGATATTACGAACTTTTATATACAAAGTGATATTTTTCCCTTTACAATTTAATATTAAAAATTGCTAAGTGTCTGGAAAACACACTATAAAAATATTTTTATTGTTCATCCATTTTTGGAAAGCTAGTGCTTTAATAATACGGTATAATTCAGTAGTTGGATAAGAAATTCCATATGCTTTAAAAAAATACTTTCCTGATTTGGTCCAATTAAATGACAAGAAGGCTTGGTTGGCACTGTGTTGTTAATGCTTTTAAAGCTCACAAATACCATATACTATAGTTTTACAGGGATACAGTTAAATCTTATTTCATAGTATAGAACAGAGTTCTGATTTTACTGAAGAATGATTTCTTTTACAAGAAGGTTTCAAAAGATTTATGTAAAAATTCCATTACCTTTTCATTCAATTTTTTTCATGAACTTTTTGAAGCCCCCTCAAATGAAAAAACCAGCTTTATCCTCATTCTATCTTATTACAAAACAACAACAAAAGACTTGCCACCACTAGTTGATTCTGACTCACACTAACCCGTAGGACTAGATAGAATTTCTCCGGTGGGTTTCTGAGACCAAAAGTCGACATGGGAGTAGAAAGCCTTTGTCCTTCTCCTGTGAGGTGGCTGCTGGTTTCAAACTACTGCCCTCGGGGTTAGCAGACCATGGTTTAACCATGCTGAGCTCGAAGAGGCTGGAAGAGGATTTAATTCAGATCCAATCAGCCACAAGTTCTAGACTTGGCTGCCATTTTCCGGCCATGTCTCATTGGGCAAGTTATCTAACATTTCCTAAGTTGCAAAGAAGACTAGTTGACATCAGACTAGAACGAATGCTGAGGAGAATAGCACTAAAAGCAATAGATAGTATGCTGAGTCCTGAATGGCCAGGATCTTATCTCTCAATTCTATTGGATAGATGATTTTATTATCTGGAATTTATCAGTGGATGGGTCTACCATCACACTTAGCAACTTGTGTTTTCATTAACTTAAGGTATCTTTATTACCGAAGAGAAGGCTTTTGTCAAATGGCATCACACTTGTCTCAGGAGCTTTCTGTTCCATTACTCAATGGGTCAGAAGAAATAGTCACGGAAATACACATTTCTTTTAAAATCGATGATTTAAGAGTTTATCTTTGGTGCCATTGTGGAATCTATAGACGGCTTCACCAGATGTAAAATAGCATCTCAGAAAACATGTTTAGAATGACATCTTTTCTAGTAATGTTTTGGAGATTTTGCCTTAAATACCTGACAAGCCACATCTGATGGATTCTTTGTCTTGAATTAGGCCATGCCTCTAAAAGATTTGATATGGTCAATGTCTGGAAGATTCTCTGTCAATATAAGCCATATTAGAATATCTCACTTGAATCTCAATAATAGTTATACCTTCTTTTCAGCAGATAGCACCTAAATTAGCTTCTCTTTATGTGTCTTATTTTCTCGCCCATAGATGCGGATGAATGCTTACTGTTTGGACAAGAAATCTGCAAAAACGGCTTCTGTCTGAACACCCAGCCTGGGTATGAGTGCTACTGTAAGCAGGGGACTTACTATGATCCTGTGAAACTGCAGTGCTTCGGTAGGTTTTCAAGAGGAGCTATTTTGGTATACTGTAAAAATGTACAGATGGGGGAAAAATAAGGAAGGCCGGGTCGTAAAAACCATTCCCTTGAATCTGCATCATGTGCTGAAAAGATCTGCTGCCCGTATTTTATGGATCTTTTCCTTGCACGTGATCTACGGAAATGAAAGCCCTCGGAACTGCATGTGTGGATTTCAAACGAAGAGTTACTATTCAGTGTGGCATGATAATTCAGGTCACTGGTCTAGCTGAAGTGCTCCTTTGGTCTGTACACCTCCTGCTTTTCATCATTCATACCAAGCCCGTGGACGCCATGTTGAAATACCCTTACTTTAATGCCTGAGCAGAAACCCGTAAACACCAGGCAGAAACGCATATCAAAAGCACGTAATTCTGAACATATCATAGAGAATCATTTTCTCTTAGATTTCTAAATGAATCCTGCCCCTGGGTGTTTCCTTTCCTGGTTTTATGTCAGCACTGGGGGCAGTATTGTTATATCAATCAACAGAACCCGTGTTTTTATAGAATGGAATAGTTCAAATGTGGATGACAGCTTGTCATTCATTAAAAGGTGGCAGCTGTTGAAACCTGGACTGGGTTTAGCAATGTGTGATGGGTTTAGCATTCCTGCTTTTCCTTGGTAATGCCTTCTTTTGTTTTGTTTCTGCTTAGATATGGATGAATGCCAAGACCCCAACAGTTGTATTGATGGCCAGTGTATTAATACCGAAGGTTCTTATAACTGCTTCTGTACCCATCCCATGGTCCTGGATGCCTCCGAGAAGAGATGTATACGGCCAGCTGAATCGAATGGTATGTTTGGATGAGTGATGCAAACCTGCATCCAAATAGATCGCAGACTTGGTTGGCCTTGAAATAATTACAAGGACATTCATCTCATCAAAGTATAGGAGGTTTAACACCCTAAATGTATTCACTGAATGCATAAGAATAGGGCATGGCTGAGCATTTGGCAGCACTGTTTTGATAATGGAGAGAAGCTATAAAGAGAAGGGTTTGGGCAGAATATGATGGGCAGGTTGAATTTCAGCTAATGGAACGACATCCAATGGAGACGGAAGCTTGATCAGGCTAGAGTTAGGCTTTGACTTGGAAGTCACTCTAAGAAGGTACTGTGTTCGATACTTGGGAGTTCATCATACTTATTCCTTAGAGGCCAGCGAGGAAGATGTAACTTCAGGGAAAGATCATTGGGTTTATTGACTGAAGGGAGGGCCTGGGTGAGACTAGACAAACTAGACTCTAGAGTTGGACAAGGAAGGGTGAGAGTCCTGAGGGTCATTGAGAGGACTCCTTGCTCATCTCTGATGAGGTAAGCTGCCACAGAGAGTGGGCACAATCAACCAGTCAGCCTTCAGATTTCACAGACTACTGTGAATAAAGTCAATGGAAAGAAATCTCAGATGAAATGTCACCAGTTCAGGCCTTGGCAGATGAATTGAGTGAGAAATAAATATATATGTAATTTAACATAATATATGTAATAATATATGTAATGTAAATATATATATATATATATATAATGTAGAAAGATGTGTTAGCATCTGACAAATGTAAAAAAGCAAAGACTAGAAGAAGGAGCAGTCCATTGGGATTATATGGGGGTACTTCCAGACAGTGGGGACATCTTGATAATGGAGGGAAGCTATAAGGAGAAGAACTTAATGAGAATATGATGGGCAGGTTGAGTTCAGCTAAAGGAATGACACCCAGTGAAAAGACGACAGAGGTTTGATGAGGCTAGAGTTAGACTTTTATTTGGTAGTCCCTCTTAGAAATCAGCATGGAAACTTGAGGACTCCTACCCCCCAGGGTTGATGAACTAGCCAAAA